GGCCCAGCTTCTTTTTCTTTTCTCCTCTTTCTCCCCTCCCTTCCTTCCTTCCTTCCTTCCTTCCTTCCTTCCTTCCTTCCTTCCTTCCTTCCTTCCTTCCTTCATTCCTTCCTTCCTTTCTCCCCCAACCCCCATTTGTTTGTTTTGGTTCTCTGTAACAGTTCTGGGTGTCCTGGATCTTGTTTTGTGGATCAGATGGGATGGCCCGGTCTCAGTTGCCTTTATTTGCTGTTTTGATTTTGTAATCAACAAAACTGCTTTTTTTTCTACTGTGGTCAGATGCTCAAGAGGCTGAGGCAGGAGGTCTTGTGAGCCCAGGAGTTCAAGTCCACACTGTATAATAGAAGGAGACTTTGCTCGGATCATGGGAGTGGGGCTGCGGATGCGCAGAGACCGACCTGCCTAGAGTTGATGGGGGTGTGACTTGGTGGTGCATGCTGGGCCCAGGTCTCAGGGTTCCAGGCCCAGGACTACAGGGGAAACAATGGCTTTGATTTGGGCATGAAAGAGCCCTGTTAGCATTGGCACTTCTTCCCACTCTTCTGTGGGCTCACAGTGACACACAGCACACACTGGAGAGTACCACTTAAGTCCTGGCACCCATGCAGTCACCTTCCAAAGGCCATCCCCTCCACGAGCTTCCTGTGCCACGCCAGTTTTGGCCATAAAAGGGTGAGTTGGTCTGAGTGTTTCCTGGTGTGTCCCCTCAGGGATCCAAGGTGGGCAAGCTGACCCTCAAGACCACGGAGATGGAGACCATCTATGACTTGGGCACCAAGATGATCGAGTCTCTGACCAAGGATAAGGTCCAGGCCGGGTGAGCCTTTGCAGCCATGAAGGTGGCTGGGGCAGTGAGAGTCCTCTCTTTTGTTTTATTCTCCAAGACAGCTTCTCAGTAGCCTTGTAGCCTTAGCTGTCCTGGAACTCACTTTGTAGACCAGGCTGGCCTTGAACTCACAGAGATAGATCCTCCTGCCTTCACCTCCCAAGTGCTGAGATCTGCTGAGTGCTGGGACTCTCACTGTGTCCCGCTGCCCCTGCAGGGATGTGATCACGATTGACAAGGCCACAGGCAAGATTTCCAAGCTGGGCCGCTCTTTCACACGCGCTCGGGACTATGACGCCATGGGCTCCCAGGTACCTGGCAATGGGATGTTTCTATGTCTTTTGTTACATCGTGGGGTCTGGACGCTATGTCACCTCTGGTGTGTGGCCCTTGCTGCCCTCACACTTGCCCTCGGCCCCACAGACCAAGTTTGTGCAGTGCCCAGATGGGGAGCTGCAGAAGCGCAAGGAGGTGGTTCACACCGTGTCCCTTCATGAGATTGACGTCATCAACTCCCGTACTCAGGGCTTCCTGGCCCTCTTCTCAGGTCAGCTGTCCTTCCCCATTAGTCCCCAGCACCATGACTGCGCCCATCTTCTGGTGTTCCCCCTTCTTTCTCTTCCCTTGGCGCCACCTACCCTCTGGTCTTTGTACCCCTCTCCTGGCACTGCCACCTCCTCAGTCTGTCTTCCCAGACCTGCCGTCTGCCTTCTGTTCTCCTTTTGAGTTTATCCTTCCGTGCATGGGTCCCTGCCTTCTGTCCTTTGTGGGCGGTCCAGGGTCCTGGCCCTGCTCTATAGCACTACAGCTCCACTCTGGCATTCGTTTCCTCTGTCTTTGCCACCTCTGGGCCTCAACCCAGCCCCTCGCTCCACTGATGCCCCTGTCTCTGGCAGGAGACACAGGGGAGATCAAGTCAGAAGTCCGAGAACAGATCAATGCCAAGGTGGCTGAGTGGAGAGAGGAGGGCAAGGCGGAGATCATCCCTGGGGTGAGTGACTGGGCTGAGATGGGCGGGTCTGGCCTGGGTCCACAGTCTCCACCCTGATCTTGATCTGTGTCCCACTGGTTCCAGGTGCTGTTCATCGACGAGGTCCACATGCTGGATATTGAGAGTTTCTCCTTCCTCAACCGGGCCCTGGAGAGTGACATGGCCCCTGTCCTCATCATGGCCACCAATCGAGGCATTACCCGGTGAGCAGCTGTAGAGCTTTCTGGGTGAAGGTGCGCTCTGGCCCAGGGGGTGATGGTAGCCTGTGCGCCGTAGTTGGTACACCAGCACCTCCTCACCAAGCTTGCCTCAGCGTTGTCCCCAGTCAACTTGCAGTTCAGAACTGCTGGCCAAGGCACCCAGAGACACCCCAGGAAGTCACCCCGTGCTGGGCTCGGGGCATCTGTTAGGCACGTCACAAACGTGGTGACTCGTCAAGTCACTCACCCAGACACTTTGTCACCTGAACCCAACGATTCTGTGATGTGCTGGGCGTGGGGTCACCTCCTCCACCAGTGGGCTAGCACTGTGTAGACTGAGACAGAGGACCCGAGTGTGGAGGACCAAGGAGGGACAGGGCTCAGGGTGCAAGGCTCCCTCTAGTGGTGGCTCATGAGCTTCGCCGAGCACATCACCCTGTCTCATATTTTACCATGGCATCCCCTTTCGGTTGTTTTTGAAGTTGTGTGTGTGTAGTGGGGGTGGGGTGTAGAGGTGCGGATTCAGCTGTGGGCAGAGTCCAGAGCGGTTATGAGCTTCCCAGTGTGTGGGTACTGGGAACTACCTGGGTCTTCTGCAGGAACACTCTGTTAACCATCTCCTCAACCCCTTTCTCTTCTCTGATCTATTTTTATTGTGTGTCTCTGTATATGCGCTCATGCATGTGTTCCCCACAGATGCCACAAGAGTGCATCATAGCCCTGGAACTGGAGTTCCATGTGGCTGTGAGGAGGGCAGAGGGCAGACGGCACTAACAGGCCGTGGCTGACAGCCTTGCCTGCTCCGCTCCGCTCCGCTCTGCTCTCCCGCTTCACAGTAGCCTAGGCTTTCCCAAGGCCGCTTTAGACCAGGGCACGGGGGAGCCAGTCCTGAGGTCTGCGCTGGCTGAGGGAGGGTTCAACCCCTTTGTCACCTGATGTTCACCTGCAATCCCTAGTCCCTGTGTCAACCTCTCCCCTAGTCTGGAAAGTGCAGGGATGGTAGGTTGGAAGCCGGCAGCTGTCCTGAACCACCTCCTGAGAACAACATTGTAGTTGTGGCTAAGCTGCCTGTGAATGGAACAATTTGTTATGTATGGGTCCCATTTCCCACAAAGAATTTCCTGTGCAGCAGGGGACAGGACAGCCACTAGCACCACTGGGGAGGCCTTGCTTATAGGTGTTGAGCGCCTGTGCTCACATAGTTATTCAGCTCCCCAAGAGGGCTGTGATGGCCAGCATGGCTTCCCGGAACATCCATTAACTGTACTCCCTGACCCCCAGGATCCGAGGCACCAGCTACCAGAGTCCTCATGGCATCCCGATTGACCTGCTAGACCGTCTGCTCATTGTCTCAACGTCCCCCTACAGTGAGAAGGACACCAAGCAGATTCTGCGCATCCGGTGGGCCACCCCAGCCCCTTTATGGGGACACTGAGATTGGATGGGAGGGATACGCCCAGGCCTCTGTATCTGGGACACCAGTGTGGCATCCTACCAGTGGGAAGCACCCTGGGGTGGTGCCTCTGTGATTCTGAGGCCTGTGTCACGGGTGCTCTGGGCATGGGTGGGGTGCTCTGGGGATGGGCAGAGCGGATCTGCCATTCTGCCTGGCTGAGGCCTGCCTGCCCACAGCTGTGAGGAAGAGGATGTGGAGATGAGTGAGGATGCCTACACAGTCCTGACCCGCATTGGGCTGGAGACCTCCCTGCGCTACGCTATCCAGCTCATCACAGCGGCCAGCCTGGTGTGCCGGAAAAGAAAGGTAAACCAGCACGTTAGCGTGGAGGACTAAAGGGATGGCCCTGGGGTAGCCCATGGGCCATGGCACATGGGTATTCAGTGGGGACCTCGAACCACAGCGATCTTAGAGAAAAAGGCTGTGGGGGAGGGGGGCTTGGACCCATGACCCCATGCTGACACGGCCCATCTGTCCCCAGGGCACAGAAGTGCAGGTGGATGACATCAAACGCGTATACTCCCTCTTCCTGGATGAATCCCGCTCCACACAGTACATGAAGGAATACCAAGATGCCTTCCTCTTCAACGAGCTCAGTGAGTAGCCCACCCAGGCTGCTGCCACTATGGGAGGGGGCTACGTGGGAGCACCCTGGAGCTCACTCGTGCTTGGCTCCCCCTCTCCACAGAAGGCGAAACAATGGACACCTCCTGAGCTGGCTCCGCCCAGCCCCGCCCACCTCGTTTCTACAGATTCTGGCACTGACTTTGTATAAAATGGTTGGAAACTGGAGCCCTGCTGTGTGTCCTCAAAGCCCACGGACACCCACGTGCAGTTGTAAAGCCTTTATTGGGAGGGATGATTGGAACACTTGCCAGCTCCTTGAGATAGAGAAGTGAGGGGGTGGGCCTCAGAGAAGGAGGAGGCCAGGGAGGTGGGGGAGGTCACAGGCCAACGGCTGAGCCTTGGGACCCCCACAGTCAGAGCTACTGAGATGACAGGGCCCACAGCGGCAGCTGAGGGCCACAGGGAAGGAGACCACGGGGTCCACACCAGGTGGGCAACCAGGCAGGCGCACAGACGCGAAGCGCTGCTCCTGGTAGGTGCACACGGTCTGGTACACAGCCTGCTGGTTGGCCTTCACTACTCGCTCCTGGAGCCCCGGAGAAAAGAGTCGTGAATGCTCCTGTACTCTGACCGGGCTCAGTGTCCACCTGATTTTCCAAACCCTCACAGTAGCTGTGACCCCTTGCCCCAGGTACCATCCCCTTTTGCCCCACTTCCACCACCTGTCTTGGGTCTAGCTGAGGTAGTGGTACTTTGTGAGAGAAGTGAGGTCCCAGCCCATTTGGCGAGCTCACCATGCTGGGACAGTAGCCGGCACAGATGCTGGTGGTGAAGGTGATGCAGACGGGACAGGCCTCCTTCTCTGCAGCCAGAGTTGCGTTGATAGGCCGGCACACTGGCCTCAGGGGGCCCCTGGAGGCCCACACTGCACTCGGGCTCAGCAGCAGCCATAGCAACAGCCCCTGGGACACAGCCAGTGGCTCAGTCTAGCCCTGGGTTCGCCACCCCAGGCTCTGGACCCACTCAGTATCGTATTGATCCTGGCCTTCAGGACCTGCCATCAATTCCGTTTCTGTACTTCTTGGAGTCCACCAGCCAGGACACCCCCGCCCCCCACAGGTCACAGGACTGTCCATCTGATGGGATTGGGAGATGCCCAGGGCCCTATACTCTTACCTGGAGCCTCTCCATTCTTGATGCCTTCCCTACCTCGGTCACTTAACTTTATACCTGTGGATTGTGGGGGTGGCAAGGCCACCAAGCAGCGACTGTAGGCTTGGGTAACCTAGACACTAATCTCTTCGGGGGCGAGAGACAGACAAGGTCAGGGAAGTGAGGGACCATCAGTGATTGGCCTCACACTCACCCCAGGTGTGTGAGCCTAGCCAATGTTGGGAGTGCAGGAAGGACCCCATCACAGGAGGAGAAAAAGGTGAACTCTTCAGGCTGCTGGCTGGGTCCCTCAGTGCAGCCTTATAAAAAGGAACAGCTTCAGCATTAGGTTCCTCCTGCCCCAAGTGGGCCTCCAAATTTACTGTACCCAGACACTTCCAACCAGAAGTGGAGAAACAGCCCCTCACCCAGCTCCCTAATCAGGATGCGTGGATCCAGACATGGGTGTGATTTCAGCTGTAAAATTCCTTGATTACTAAGCTCCGCATGGAGGCTTTTCTGCAAGCGTGGGATATGGCCAACCCACCCACAAATCCGATGCTGGAGTGTATGTCTGCCTGTGGGTGAGGCCCACATGCTCACACCAGCTCTGCCCTGGCGCTCCCATAGCGGGAGTTCTCGGTGCAGTAGGCCTTGGGCACACTGTAGATGCCAGGCACTGGCTTCTGGTGGGGGCCTCCCCAGGGTGCCTCTAGTGGGCAAAGGCGGTCCAGCCTGCGGAGCGGGTGCACTGAGGGCCCGAAGGACTCCTGGGCCAAAGGCAGGGCCCCCAGGTATGGCACAGCTGGTGGTACTGGGCGTGCACGGGCTAGCTGTTCCCTCAGTGGACCACCATGACTGAAAGCCTGTGGCTTCTTCAGACAGCTCCAGCAAGTCATAGTTTTCTGGCCAGGATATCCAGGCAGCTCTTTCCTGGGGGAGGGGACAGCAAGTGAGTAGACCCAGGCACAGCAGAGTTCAGATTCCAGGACCTGGAAATTGCTCTTGCTACCTTGGAGGAGCCTCAGGATCCTGAGCTGAAGGAGCTCAGCTTGGGTCAGTATTGAGGTCCCTGTCTTTGCAGGTGGAACTGCTAAGGGGCTGTGCCTACACCAGCACCTGAAGAGCAGAGGCTCACCTTGAGAAGTCACGTGCAGAGGTTGTCAGATAGGGCTGGAGGCGGTCCAGGACACCCATCTTGCTCACTGGAAAGGGCTGGCCAGCCAGCTCTGGGCTCTTTGTCCAGGGGATGAGGGCCTGAGGAGGATTGGGAAAAGCTATTGGGTTACCCTATTAAAGCCCTCCCGCCAGACTTTGTACCTCAAATCAGGGTCCTTGGGAGCACTGCACCCAAACTCTTAAGCTGTGGCCACACTCTTCCCAGTCCCCTCCTAGTCTAAGCAGTTACTGACATTGGACATTCAGTGCATCTGGGTAACCCCACCTGCTCATTCCTCACCCAGGAAACCTAACTTCATTTGCTAACTTGACCCTGTCTCAGAATATTCTAGTCCAGCTCTGAGTAGCATCTACTCGGCTTAGTTCATTGCAGCACCCCACAGCCTCAGAAGCAAAATTGAACCTCCCTCCAGGCTTCATCCCCAGAGTTCAGGCTAACCCAATGCCTTTTAGCTACACCCTCAAATGCAAGCTTTCTCCAGCCCAGAGATTGTCTAGACCCTAACCCTCTGGGCAGTCCAGGCTCCTTCCCGTCGTGCCCAAACCCACTCTACCTGGGAAGGGCCCCCGCGGTGGTGGTCAGCGAGCTCCAGGGGTTGGGGCTCCGCAAAGAGAGGGGCACTCTGGTCCAGACCTGGACAGCCCGTGTACTGTGCCTTCATCTCGCTGATCTGGTATTTTGTGTTCAGGGGGACACCCAAACCCTGATGGCGGCTTAGCTACAAGAAGGCGATCCAAAATCTAAAGATGAGGAAGCGGGGACTCCAGTGTCCAGCTCTCCATCCCACATACTGCAAGGCTCCAGAACCCTTACCTTCTCGGCCAAAGACTTGATCCCTAGTGGCCGCCCAGGGTCCTCATGCTCTGCGGCCTTGGGCTGAGCACAGGGCCCACCGTGAGTCTTGGCCGTGTATGCCGAGCCCGAGGTGGTTTCCCATCTGCTGATGACTTCGTCAAAAGCCCAGATGTGCGGGTCGTGCTTCATGGCTGCGGGCAGGGGTGCCAGGACCGTAGACTGGGGAAAGTGCATAGTTCAGCCAAAAGACCGGAGGAGCCTTCCCCTTTCCTTCCTCCAGCTCCTGGCGTGCAGGCTCCCAGGCCTCGCCTCCTTTAAGATAGAGTCTAACCCTAGTCTTCTTTCCTCCCAGCACACAGGTTTGTCAACTGCCCCCTTTTTGTCTTGCCCTCCGCCCGGGGGCTTCTCACCTGCAGAGTGGGCGGAGGAAAGGGCGCTGGTGGGATCCTGTGGTGGGCGACTCCGCTGCTGGTGAGATGCCAGCTGGGCCAGGTTCCAGGAACCTCAGTTTCAGAAATGGGGGACCAAGGGGGCCCATATCGCAGAGCTAGGGTCCGGCCTGCCATGTTTCTCACCCTCTCGGAAGCCAAGAAGCGGCTTGTGGTGTGGCCGTTGCCCCTCGTAACAGAACCCGCCCACCCCGAGCCCAGCCAATGGCTTGGGGAGGGTTCGGGGAACCCAGACCAGGACTTTGAAAGAAGTGGAGAAGACCCTAAGAAAGACCGGCACAGAAACAGATACGTGAAGAAGGGTGGAGACTCCAGAGAGGAGGGAAAGGAAACAGGAGGTCAGGGAAGGGGACCCTGCAGACTCGAAGACAGGCTGACTCAGGGGATGGGGAACTAAACGCCCCTTTCCTGCAGGGCCCCTGGCCCAAGGGCTGCCTCCTCAACTGCCAGGCCTGCCCGCCTCAGGGTAACAGTTTCCAGACAGCTCCTTTCCGTGAAGGCTGAAGGGCCAGCGTCCCCAGTCATGCCTGCCTTTCATGTGGCTGAAAATTTCCACCTGGGTATGGGGGCGGGGGACCGAGGGAAAGAAACACCGGGAAACACTTAGAAGAGAAAGGGGGGGCTCCACCCACAGAAAAGAGACAGGAAGTCAGACTGAGAGGGTGGGAACAGGGCCACCCTCAGCATCAGGGGCGGATTCTGCCCCGCTAGTGGTCCAGGCTCACTCAGGTTGGGAGAAGCTGGCCTCCAAAGAATATGTTTATACACCCTAGGCCTGTTGCTCCAACACTGAGGCTGTTGAGTCTAGCCTGGTCTACTACGGAGAGACCCCGTCTCTCAGGTATCCCAACACTGGAGATGAAGGTAGGGTGTGAGAGTGGGATCATCCCTTATGAGCACTTGCTCTTGCAGAGGACCTGGCCAGGTTCAGTTCCCAGCACCCACATGGTGCCTCACAAGCAGCTGTAACTCCAGATACTCTCCTCTGACACCATCATGGTGTACATCATACATGAAGGTGAAACATTCAATACACAGAAAATCAAAGAACTCTTGCTAGGCGGTGGTGGTGCACGCCTTTAATCCCAGCACTCAGGAGGATCTCTGTGAGTTCTAAGCCAGTCTGGTCTACAGAGTGAGTTCCAGGACATGTTCCAAAGCTACACAGAGAAAGAAACCCTGTCTCAAAAAGCTTTAAAAGAAAAATTACGGTCATTCTCAGCAACACATTCTAGTTCTAGGCCTGTCTGAGCTTCATGAGAACCTGTCCCAGAACATTAAAAGAAAAAAAAATGCTGTGTGTGTAGGGTGTGGTCCAGTGATGGTTTGCAGGAGTCCTGGGTTCCAACCCCAGCACCGCATAAACTGGGAGTGGGAGATACAGAGCTCAACACTTCCTAAATTCGAGGCCATCCTGAGCTCCAAAACCTAAACAAAAAAGAGTTGGGTCAGCCTTGGCCAGGTCAGGCTCCCAGTGCTTCAAGGCCTTTCACTGACGGCATCCTCAGGTTCTGGGGCCCACCTGGCCCATCCCCCCTTCCCACCTCTGCCAGTCTGTGTAGCCCAAGCTGCCCTGGAACCGGAGGCAGTCCTCTGCAGCCTCTCAGGTATTAGGATTACAGGCGTGTATCACGATGAAGCCCCACTCCTCCGCAGACAAGGCTGGCCTTGAAGTCCCAAGTGCTGGCATCACAGATGCCCTCCACTGTCTATGATGTGGTACTCAGGATAGAGCCGAGGACCTGATGCCGGCTAGGCAAACAGCCTACCAACTGAGGCACAGCCCTGTCTACATCACTTTTTCACATGTCCCTTTCCCTCTTGCCAGGGTGGGCCAGGGTCCTCTGGTATTGGAATGGTCAGCAGAGTGATGTCTTAGGTCTAATAAACAGTAGATCGCAAACACTGGCTATTATTATTATTGTCAAGTTCCTCCGGGAGAACTTCTATCCATCTCTTAAAACTGTTTGGTTTCATCAAACATTCCACATAGATTGAGCTCGCAAATGGCATTTGATTTTTTCAGTTCTCAATCAGAAGGCAGTAGAGCAGCCGGGTTGCCTCTGAGGTCCTTTTAGCATTCAGCTCCTTTTTCCTCAAGCTGGGGCCCTCAGGCCCGGCCTGTTCGGCTGAGAAGCGTACAGACGCAAGCTGTGTCGATCCGAATCCAGCGCCAGCCCACGCGGCCCTGTGAGTCTGCAGTCAACGCCCGCACATAGGACTGCTTGGCCTTGCATTCTGAGAGCCAGTGCCTCCGATCCACACCGCGACAACCTCCTCCGCCCACACCCGGGCCACCTTCCCCAGAGCTTTCGGCCTTGCAGCGCGTCTCGAAGAAGTACTGACGCAGGGGACTGCCACCTGCTGCAGGCACCTCGCCCAGCACCTCCACCTCGCGCCCACGCAAGTCCACAGCCGTCCGCCGGTCCGTCACCCAGCCACTCACTGCGTCGCACACGGCTAGCTCACCCCGGCGGCTCGCCGGGGCAGTCTCACTCACCCCACGCCGGCTGCGGTTGGCTGGGGCCCCTGCCGGCTCCCCATAGGCTCCAGCCTCCAGCAGGAAAAGGAGAGGGGGCCCAGAAGGGGCGCCCCTTGACAGGGCCACACGGGGAGACAGGAGGTCCCATTCAGCGGCCAGAAATGGGGGAAAGGTGGAGGGTGGGGATTGGGGCTCCATGGGGATGCTGGGGAGTAGGAAGAGGAAAAGGATGAGGGAGGAGTGCCGAGGGAGCATGGCTTGCACACCTGAAAATGGAGAAAGAGGCTGTCCTTAGAGAAGGAAGACACCTGGGTAATAGAAGCCAGGGTCCTACCTCCCCCAGAACGGCTGTCAGCATGGCACACTGTGGGAGGACCTTAGGGGTCCCCTTGTTCTACTTGGGGAACGCTTAACTTTCGGATTAATGACTATTCAGTTCATGTGAGTGAGAAGCCAAGCTGGGCGTGGTGATGCACACCTGTCACCTCAGCACCGAGAGGCAGAGGCAGGAGGATGGCCATTTACAAAGGGAGTTCCATGCCAGCCAGGGCTTATACAAAATAATAATAATTAATAATAATAATAATAAAGAGAAATTATTTCTATCCGGTCACACAGCCAGCAAGTGGCATGGGTAAGATTTGGATTCTGAGCAGTGCCATTTGGGTCTCATGTCCTATAACCAGGAGGAACCCCTGAGTCCTGCCACTTCCATGGCCTTGACTGTGGGACCGACCCAGGTGCTGGGAAATGCTGCGAGGGAGATGGAGAGATTTGAACGTTCTAGAAGCTGCGCCTGGACTGGAAAGCAGCAGGTGAATGAATACCAGACCTGTCAGCAGCACCTCCACCTCTTCACTCTGGGGCTGGGGGCCCCCAGGCTCTGTGGGGCCCCTGTGTAGTATACAGGTAGTCTCCTCCCTGGCATCTCAGGAGAGGGAGGGGGCAACCACCTGTGGGAGGAACAAAGCCGGTTACTTAGGCGGATGGGGGAAGGGCACGACCCCCCATAAAAAGCCACTCTTTCCAGAATCTTTGAAAGTCCAGGGTACCCTGGAATAGAGGCCCCGCCCACCTCCAGAGGCCCCCTTCCCAGCGCAGGTGACAGCTCTGGAGGGATGGGAAGCAGATGGGGGGAGGCAGAAAGGAGGGGCAGGTGAGGCAAATTGAAGACATTACATCCCCTCCTCCCATTCCTCCACCGGAGGTGCGGCGGGGGGGGGGGGCTGGCCTGGACAGCCGGGTCCCTGCCGGCCCACGTTCAGGGCGCTGGGTCCCTGAGGCTGCTTCCTGGAATGTTCGCTCCTCACAGGACAGGCCAGGGCCCGCCCAAGACTCCGACTGCGCATACCTGGAGTGTCTGGCTGGCCAGGCTCCGAGGTGGGGGAATGGGAAGTGTGGAGTGTGAACGGGGCAGAGGTTGACCACACCAACACAGTGAGTGCGGGTACCCGCTGCCTCCTCCCTCTGACCCAGGGGCCCAAGACCCCAGAACCATCCTCCCTCAGCGAGGGTGTCCTGGTTCCCCAGATGCCTCCTGCTGCAGACTAGATTTCTTGGACTCCAGCCGCCTCCTCCCTCAGACCCCACAGGTTCTGGGGTTGCGGTCCTTCCTCCAAGGTGCTTATAAATAGGGACTCCCTGTTTCTCCATCCAGGAAAATTGGACTGGGGATCCCTACTCCCTGATTCGGCTGGAGGGGGATCCGCTCCACCATTAGGACACTTCCGTCCTGCCTCAGTTTCCTTCGCCAAGCCCCGCCCCTGACGGCCCCGCCCCCGTCCCTCCCTACCCGGGGGCCGGGCGACCTGGACGGCGGAATCTGGCAGGGGAGGCGCGGAGCTCCTACCTGGGGCGCCCTTCTCTGCTCCCCGGCTGCCCTTGGCGCCGCCGCAGCTCCTCCTCCGGCTCGCTGCTGTCCGCTGCTCGCCGGCAACTCGCCGTTTGCGCTTGGGAGGGCCTGGGTCTGGGAGGAGGCGGGGCAGCGCCCGACGGCGGAGGAGGGGCGGGGGATCCCGCCTAGCACGCGCGAGCCGGCACCTCGGAAGCCCGGCCTCGGCAACTTCAGTTCCAGGCGTCTGGGCTGTAGCCCACCTCCATCAGACACTGGGGTCTAGACCCCGCCCCTCCTCCCTCAGACCCAGGCGTGCAGGCTCCCAGTCCTTCAGACACAGGGGTTCAGACCCAGCGTTCACAACTCCAGCCCTCCTCCCTCAGAGCCAAGGATGCAGACTCCAGTCCTTCAGACACAGAGGTCTAGGCCCCATCCTTTCCCTGCAGTCCTCCGCTCAGGCCTGGGATTGCTGTGATGTCTAGTGCAGGTTCCCACCCTCTGCTCCTGTCTCCCCTCCTGGATCTCCCTGCCAGACATTAGCCAGCTGGGCTTGTACAGTGATAAGGCCCAATGCCTAAAGACAGAGACTGCGGGGCTCCCCCACATAGTCCTCTATCCTGGAATTTCCTGGCTGGAAACCAGGGAGTCCTAGCGCAGATAAGAAAACTTCAAGGTAGTTAGAGTGAAGCTTTAAGAACTGTGACTTGCCTAGCGACTGTGACCCATAGGGAAGAGAAGACAGGGGACAAAATCCCAGTCAGAGAAGCCAGACCCCAGAGGGAGGAAAACAGTCCAAGAAGTGGACCTCAGGAAGAAAGGCAGGCTGCACCGGTGTCACTGCGGCAGGATGGTCCCTTGGGTGGCAGGGCCCTTTGCTCTCCCATACCCTTCTCTGGGACTCTGGCTCCCCTACCCCAAGCTATATTTAGGAGGAAAGCTGACACTTGCCTTTGGGGGGGGTCACCCAGCACCCATCCCCCCAACCTAAATATAGCATGGCAAAGCGGCAGGAAGGGTGTCCCCCGATTAGGGTTTTCCCCTCAACTAACTTGCCATCCCAGCCAGGGTGACTCAGAGCCCACTCCAGTTGTTTACTGGAGGTGGGAAGAGACACTTCCTAGCCTGGTGTCCCTTGGGTCACCCTTGGAACCTCTCATCCTTTCCTAACACAGCCCATCCCTACCGAGAGACCCCAGCTCCTCTGGGAGTCAAGGAGGGGTCTCGAAAGAAGAGGGAAATTCGGTCTTTTGGTCTCTCTCTCCCTCCCTTTCTCCTTCCTTCTCTTCCCCTCCTCCTCTCCCCCTCTCTCCCTCCCCTCCGCTTGTCTTCTTGCTCTCTGAGCTCTTCTCTTCTGCCTGGCACCTGCCCTCTCTCCACACTTCCTCTGCCCCATCATCTCTTCTGTGTATCCCATGGTGGAGTCTGTGTTCTGCATCTCTGTCTTCGGTCCTTGCATGCAGGTCAGTCTCCATTTCTACGAATATGAGTCTATGTTAGCGAGAAGCGACCACCCTGAGATTCTCCGGTGTCCATCCCCATCACGCCCTCTCCCCTATCCCTCCTTTCTCTTGCATAGCAAGATGTCTGGTGATGACAAGGGCCCTTCTCACATTTTTTCCCTCATGTCTGATGGCTCCGAGGAGGCATATCCTCCCAGCAGCCCGCCTGAGATGCTTTACCCTCTGGTCTTAAGCAAGAGTTCATATGACTGAAGCAGGTGGCATCGTTATCAAAAATAACTTGACACTCAGCACCAGTGAACAGGTTTTAATAAATTAATGCCAGTCAAATAACTTGAACTCTGTTGGTGTTGTAACCGCTCTCCTCTTCCTAAAATGCCCCTCAGTCTCAGAAGATTCTGAAAATGTCTCTCTGTAGCCTAGGGTAATGCTGTTCCCATTGCTATCAGCTTCCTCCTCTATGTGATGCAGGGCCTTGCCAGGCATGGCGGTACACGCCTTTAATCCCAGCACATCAGAAGCAGAGGCAGGATCTCTGTGAGTTCAGAGCCAGCCTGGCCTACAGCGTGAGTTCCAGGACAGCCAGAGCCACAAAGAAGTACCGACCCTGTCTCAAAAAACAAAACAAAACAAAAAGACACAGGACCAGTGACCTCCAGCAATACCTGCACGCCAGAAGCTGTGGGGGTGTCACAGGCAGGCCACCTGCCACCAGTTCTGGCCCCATGACGTGCTGGGTGACCTTGGGGGAAGCCACAGCATTTCACAGCCTTGGGTTTCTGCCCTAGGAAACACAGAGCACCTCCAGGAGTGTGGTGGCGGCCTTCCTTGGCTGTGAGGGGTGCTGACGCCATGGCTTAAGTCTGTTATGACTCAGAGAACAAAAAGGGTGACCCTTGGGCTCAAGGCTACCACGGTTTCTGCTCTCTCTCTCTCTCCCTTTCTCTCCTTCTCTCTCTCTCCTTCTTTCTGCACGCCGGACACCCACGACTTGGTGCCAGCCCTTCATTCCTGGTTTTCTCTCTCTGGGCCTCTCCCCCTCTCCTCTTCCCCTTTCTCACTCTCTCCCCCTTCCTTTCTCTCCTCTCTAGATCTCTGTCCCCACCCCACCCCCGTCATGTCTGGTCCAAGCACCTACTCTTTCTTCTCTGTGTTTTTCTTCCCTTGTGACTCCAGTCTTTGAATCCCTGTGCTAAAGCTTGGGGCAGCCTTGGCCTGGATCCCAAACGAGCAGGGTAAACTGAGTGCTACTTCCCACAGAGCCTCTCCAGATGGATGGGGCGGGGGGGGGGGGGGGGAGACCGAGGGAGATGAAACCCCCGTTCTACAGGGCATATCCCTGAGCAAGCTGGTTCAGCGGGCCACATACACCCATGTGTCCACGCTTGCTCCCTTACACTTAGTTTCATCTGCACTGTGGCCCTTGGGTCCCCATGGTCCTAGGCCCTCACATACACTCCCACGGGACTCGCAGTGACAAGAGTCAGCATGGGCCCCTGAAAACAAAGATGTCGTCAGACTCACTGTGTGTCTATTAGGAGACGCCCACTGTGACACATCTCCAGATGTCCCAGCTTAGCATGGCCCTAAACAGGTTCCGGCCACGTAACACATGTAATACAGCACAGAGAACCATTGCTTGGGGCCTCTGTCCCTTCCTCTCTGGGTTTCTGCCTCCTTCTACCTCTTATACTCTTACAATCTCCTTTGCACCTTCACACAGCTTCTGCGCATGATTACGCAGTCATGTGACCACTTTAACAGTGGCGCTAGTTTGGCCCTAGGGAATCAAAGCCACATAACTGCTCATCATACACTCGAATGAGACCCCCACACAGACCCAGGAAACCCACAGCTTATGACAAGTCTCTTTCAGTGCAACCCATAGGGTCCCCTGGAGATTTGCACAGCCAATGGGGAACCCCTGGACTCAACCCAAATTATGGCCATTCACATCTACTTAAGGCCCCCCTAGGAACTACCACGTGACATAACTTCACATCCGGTCTCTGTTCCTTAACCCAGCACCTGCCCTGCCTTCCCACCTCCCTCCCACCCCACTGCTGTCCCTCACACCTCGGTCACCATGTGTTTCCCAGCGGGGGGCCAGAGTGGTGGTGGTAGGAGTTCAGGCACCTCAGTGTCCACCAGCCCCCCGTTAGCCTTGCCCTCCAGTGTGATGCAGGGCTGTGTGTCCACGTGGCTGTACAGTCCTGCCTCTTCGCCCTCTGTCTCCCGGTGGTAGAAGTAGCTGAAGTTAGAGACAATGACCGGCACCGGCAGAGAGATGGTGAGCACACCCGCAATGGCACACAGAGAGCCCACGATCTTGCCACCCACAGTGACGGGTGCCATGTCTCCATAGCCAACTGTGGTCATGGTGACCACTGCCCACCAGAAGGACTCCGGGATGCTGGTGAAATGGGTGTCCACCCGGTCTACTTCCGCAAAGTAGACTGCACTGGAAAAGAGGACCACACCAATGAAGAGGAAGAAGATGAGGAGACCTAGCTCACGCATAGAGGCCCGCAGCGTCTGACCCAAGATCTGTAGGCCCTTCGAATGCCTTGATAGCTTGAAGATACGGAAAACACGCACCAGTCGGATGACCCTTAGGATGGCCAGCGACATAGCCGGCTGACCCACTCCGCGCTGCCGGGCTAGCTCGGTGCCCAGGGCCACAAAGTAAGGCAGGATGGCCACGAAGTCAATAAGGTTCATCACATTCTTGAAAAATATGGCTTTGCTTGGGCAGGCCACCAGACGCACCAGCAGCTCAAAGGAGAACCAGCAGATACACAGGGTCTCCACCACAAAGAAGGGATCACTGAAGGGCAGGCGGGAAGGAGCTCCTGGCATGGGACTGGAGCCATTCAGCCGAGAGAGGAACTGCAGAGGGGACAGAAAGGGTTAGGGCCAACACCTTAGTCACTGTTTCCACATCAGAGGACAGTAGCCATGATCCCAAGGCTCCCCAGGGATCTCACTGTCCTATACAACCCAAGACCCTAGGGACTGTTTTGGATGGCTGACTTTCTGTTCTTCAGGCATACGGGCAAAAGGTGTGTCCTGGGCCAGGTGGTACAAGTCTCTTACCAGGAGACTGAGGCAGAAGTAAATTCAAGGCAGATCTGGGCAACTTAGTGAGATTCTGTCTCAGAATGAAAAGTGAGGAGCTGGAGAGGCGGCTCAGCCATTAAGAGCACGGGCTGCTCCTCTAGAGGACTTGGGTTCAGTTCCCAGCGCTCACAACTGTCTGCAACTCCAGCTCTAGAGGATCCACCACACCAGACATGCATGTACGCATGCAAAATACCCATACACAAAGGTAGAGTATAAAAATCCTTGAAACTCTCCAAAACCACAGAGAAACCCTGTCTCGAAAAACCAAAAAAAAAAAAAAAATCCTTGAAACTAAAAGAAGGTGGGAAGAGAGTTGGGGATGTAGTCCATTGACACAGCCCCTGCTTGTAACCCCTCTGTGAGGGGTGAGGGCTGTGGCTCAGTGATAATGTTCCTGACTAGAATCCCCCAGTGAGGGATCAGTGGTGTGGTTCAATGGTAGAGCTCCTGTCTAGCATCCCCCAGTGAGAGTCTGAATCGGTGATAGAGTGCCAGCCTAATGTCCCGGATTCCACCACGGCACATCAGAAATTGAAACAGCCAATTGCCACTATATACCTTTAAGCCTAGCACTCAGAAGGCCAGAGACAGTTGGATCTCTGTGAGCTTAAGTTCATTCTTGGTCTATATAGCAAGCCCAGGCCACCCTGGCTACATAAGACCTTGTTTATAACTTGGTTTTCCATATCTATAATTTTTTAAATAATTTAACCAAAATGCAGTCCCCACTCTTTCACTGATGGAAACTCCTGATCTCATGGTTGATCAGGGAGAATCTTCCCTTCCAATATTTTGCCCACCCCCAGTGTTGAGTCTCTGGGGGGTTCTGCCTTTGGCATGCCTAACCCCCAACTCAGACTATAATGGTTCATAATGGTCCTAGATTTTGCTGTATGGCCCTCAGCTCCACACCCCAGCCTCACTCCTGCTACTTCAGTGCTCCAGTTCAGAGTAGGCCTGGCCCAACTGTCCATCTTTCCTCTCTGCCAGATGGGCAGACACTGCCGTCTTCGTTTCTTTGACCCCACACACTCATTTCACAGTGGTGAGGGTGGAGCCCAGGACCTCGCACATGCTTGGCAAGCTGTTCTCCGCTGATCCACCCACGCCCCCAGCCCCTCAGAGGGACTGCAGGCAGGAGCACTACCACTGAGTCATGCCCCAAGCTCCTCGGTGGGAAATCCAGGCAGGGCGTCTATCACTGAGCCACATCCCTCACTGGGGGTTCTTTTTAAATGTCTTACTTATTGTTTTATGTGCTGGGGGGGTCGACCTGCGTGCCTGTCTGTGACCCACATGTGTGCCTTGGTGTTCAATGAGGCCAGAAGAGGGCATCAGACCCCAAGGAAGTGGAGTTACAGATGGCTGTGAGCCATCATGTGGTGCTAGGAATTGAATCTAGGTCCACAGTCAGTGCTCTAAACGGCCGAGCCATCTCTCCAGGTCCTTCACAGTGTAATGGTAGATAGCGGCTCTACTACGGAGTCACACAAGCCCCAACCCCTCACTCTGTGGGTCTGTGCAGAAGATCTACCACTGACTCACTGGGGATTCTGAGCAGGCTGTCTACTGAGGTACATCCTCAGTCAGTGTTAGGTTGTTTCGAGGCAGGCTCTCATACACACAGTAACCCAGACTGGCCTTCAACTCGTGGCAATCTTCCTATCTTGGTCTCCTGGGTGCTGGGATTCACACACCCAGCTTGTGTCTTTGATTTTTAGTGCTTCGATCCTCCTGCCCCCGGCCGCACCTTCTGACTGGCCAGGTCTTCCAAGACCCCGCCCCGGCCATCCCGAAATCCCCGCCCCTTACCGGGCCAGTGGCTGCCGCCACCGGCGCGAGTCCCGGGTCATCGCGGTCGTCGCGGAAGTCTGGCAGCGTCTCGAGGCAAAAAACCACGATGGAGACCAGGATGACGAGCACGGAGACCACGGCGAGCACTCGCGCAGCCTGCGAGCTCTCGGGGAACTCAAAGAGCAGCCAGAGCTGGCGCGCAAAGGCGTGGCGTGGCAGCGGCCGCTCGGGGGGCACCGCGCAGCCTTCGTCCTCGCGCAGCCGTGCCAGCGCCGCGGCGCCCAGCCCGTAGAAGGACACCTCCTCCAGGAAGACGTCGAGCGGCACGTGTGCCGGCCGTCTCAGCCTCCCGCCCGATTGGTAGTAGTAGAGCACCGCGTCGAAGCTGGGCCGGTGTCGGTCGAAGAAATACTCGCGGCGCGCGCCGTCGTAGAAGCGGCTGCGGCGCACCGGGTCCCCCAGCAGCGTGTCCGGGAAGCGGCCGAGCGTGCGCGCGCGGGTCTCGAAGCGCAACCCGGCCACATTGAGTACCAGCCGCTCGCAGCAGCCGCAGGGCGGCGGACACCGCGGCTCCATGGCGCGCACAGCCCGGACGACCGGCGGACGGACGTGTGGCCCCGACGCCCGGCCCTGGTGCCGCAGCCACCCCGGCCGGGTGTCCGGTGTCCGCGCGTAAAAATAGCAGGGAAGGTCCGGCCAGGGAGCGGGGGAGGGGGCGGAGTGACCCCGCGGGGCGCAGGGCGCCCTCTGCTGTTGCTGCACCTGCCCGTCCCCACGGCCACCCGCGTTTCCGTGGGTTTCATGAGTCTTCCGTTAGCGCCATCTATTTTATTGGTTTAGCTTTTGGTTTTATGACACAGGATCTTATGTAGCCCAAAGTGGCCTAGAACTCCGTGTAGGTGAAATAACCTTGAATAATATACTATCCTCCTGCCTCCACCTCCCAAATGCTGGGATTACGGCTATTTATTTGTTATAGATACAATCTTCTCAGCCTATAATTTAAGCTGACTGCGAATTTATGGCGATCCTCCTGCCTCGTCCTTCGGATTGCCGGGATGACAGTCATGAGCCGTGGCGTCTATCTGTAGCACGATTCTCTTCCAGTTCCTAACTGTCTCTAGTCTGTCCTGGGTTACTGCCTTGGGGACGTGTATCCACTTTACCAGTCCTTGCAGTCTGACTATCTGTCTATCTGACTGGAGCCCCTGTATCTCTCTGCCTTTTAGTATTTTATTTTTTACTGACACTGGGTTTTGGTATGCAGCTCAGATTGGCCTTAGTTTTGGCAATCGTCTTGCCTCTGCCTCCCAACAGCTGGAATGACAGATGTGTACCACCACGCCTGGATTTGTTGCTGGCTTTCTTTCTCTCCCAGTATTTCTCAATGAATATCTGTGTGTCTGGAGTCATGTGTTTCTTCCTCTGCGTCTCTGACATCACTCCTAAGGAGCTCTCGAGAGCTAAGGCCCTGGTACTTGCCGAAATCTCAGGGCCCCTTTCGCAACTCTGAACCGTTGCGTACTTGAGCCGCATCCCTGGCCACTGAGAGCGCCAGAGTTTGAACTTGGAATTCCTGTGTTTTGAGATTAGTAAGGAAGGAAGTCCTGGGCTGAAGCCAAGAATGGCGACAAAGGAGGCAGGGCTTGCCGGGAAGGGTCTGGAGGCGGCCCGGGAGATGCGCAGGGTCACTGTCAGGAACCGAAGGGCAGACGGAGAATGGGCTTCCAGACGCTGGTGTCTAATGACACCGGGTAAAAAATAGTCCCATCTGATGGGGTAGGGTGATAGAAAGGGCATTGATACCTAGCCACTAACGGGGAAAGGGATCCCTCACGCCCTCTGCTGGCGAGACAGAGACCTGCACCAAAAAATATAATTCCAACTAAAACTGTTTCCCTTCCCAGATTTATGTCTTTCTGGGACTCACAGAGATCCTCCTGCCTCTGACCCCCAAACCCCCAAAAAGTCAGTTATGAGACCGTGTGTGCTGCCACACGCCTCTAATACTAGCACTCGTGAGGCGGAGGCAAGCAAACTTGTTTGAGTTTGAGGCCAGCCTGCTCTTCACATAAAGTTCCAGGCCTACATAGTGAGACCTTGTATTGAAAAAACTGGTCGTAGCTGGGCAGTGTAGCGTAAGCCTTTAATCCCAGCACTCTCAGCCGGCTCCTTCCCCAGGGTGTCGTTAGCTCTTCATCTGCCACCATTTGAAGGTGCTGTGTGTCAACCCCAACCCTAGAGATTCTCTCACTCTGCTTTGCTGGGGTGGGTGCGGGGGAGGTAAAATGACGTTAGAGCAGGTCCCTCGTCCTGCACAGACCAGCACTCTCCCTCCCGCATTCCTGCGGAATCCATTCAGGCTGGTGTGATGATTTGAATGAAAATGGCCCTCAGTGGATTAAAGGGAGTGTCACTGTTAGGAGGTGTGGCCTACTTGTTGGAGGAAGTATATCACTAGTGGGGTGGGGTGGGGGCATGGGGGTATTGAGGTTTCAGAAGCTCAAGCCAGGCCTTGTGACTCACGGTGTCTTCCTGTTGCCTTAGAATCCACGTGTAGAACTCTCTGCTGCCCATTCAGCACCATGTCTGCCCCTGTGCTGCCATCCTTCCTGCCGTGACAGTAATGGACTAAAACCTATGAAAGCCAGCTCCCCCAGCTAACTGCTTCCCTTCCTCAGAGTTGCCGTGGTAATGGTGTCTCTTCATGGCGTAGAACACGGCTGAAGACAGCTGGGACCCTTGCTCCCTGTTCCCTGCCTCCATCCAGTGCGGAAGCAGACTTCATACTCCAGTTGCTGGAGCCTGAGACTGTTAGTGACTTCATCTGGCAAGCCAACTAGGAGAGGCTTAATTGAAGGCTCTCAAGTTGGGGAATATTGTTGCTGGTTATCTGGATAGTTATCGATATTTCCAGGAGAGCAGCAGAATGTGTCTGTGGCTGGCTGGTTAAGCCTTGGCTCGACTCCTCATCGCTGAGCTGGTAACATGATTATTTACAATGTTGTTTAGCATTTAGACTGAGGCTCGCTGGCTGTTCTCCCAGAGGCCTGGAGTTCTGTGCCCAGCACTCACTCTGGGTGGTTCACAACCACCTGCAACTCCAGCTCCAGGGGATTCACACCCTCTTCTAGATTTGCATGCATGTATCCACCAGAAGACAAATGCACACACAGGCACACACACACATGCCCGCACAGTAAACCTGCTTGTTCGACTTTATGCCAGTAAAAAGCATCAGATCCCACTGTGCTTGCTGAACTGGGAATTGAACTCAGGACTTCTGGAAGAGCAGCCAGTGCTCTTAACTGCCAAGCCATCTCCCCAGCCCTGTACTTGAACACTTCATCCAGTTCCAAAACTGTTCCTATCTCATTAGGCTGTGCCTAAATAAAAGGCAAAACTGACGTTGTGTACTTCAGACGTAGAGCTGTTCCACACTTCTGAGCCCAGGAGCCTGCCAGTTTCTTCCCTCCCTGCCCCCAGCACTAGGATTACAAACAAATTCTGCTACATCCAGCTTTTTACATGGTTGTTGGGGACCAGAACTCAGTTCCTGATGTTCCTTTGATGTGGATACTTTGCACTCTGAATCATTTTATCTACTGGAGCAAAGGTTCAGAGGGGTTGTCTAGGCTGACCTTGACAGGGGCTGGGGCTGATGGCAAACTTTTAATACTCCTGACTCCATCGTGCCAGCCCTAGGATGTCTTAACCTGTTGCCATCTAGAGCTCATTCTAACAGCTAGCCCCTTTCTCTGCCTTCTCCCTGTCTATATCAAGGCTCTGTCAACAACTTCAGATACAAATGTAGGAATTAGGATTATGATAGAGGGAAGGTGAGCTACATTTAAACTTAGTTAAACTTATTTAGAGATCTGCCTGCCTCTGCCTCCCAAGTGCTGGGTGCTGGGATTAAAGGAGTGCACCACCACTGCCTGATTTGAAATAGTTTTTTAATTAAAATTATTTTTGTTATTTCGTGTGTGGGTGTTTTGTTTGCACACGTTTGTGCACAGTGTACTTGTGCATGCCTGGTACTCTCAGATGTCAGAGGAGGGCACTGGGATTGCCTGGGACACAGCTACGAGCGAGTACTGGGAATCAAACCCAGGTCCTCTGTAAGAGCAGCTAGTGTTCTTACCTGCTTAACCTTTCTCCAGCCCCTTGTTCTGTTTTCGATTTTTTTTTTGTTGTTGTTGTAGATCAGGATGGAATTGAATGCTCCATCCTCTGAGTCCCTACTACTAGAAATACATGTGTGGAATAGTATGACCAGTTTAAAAGTTTTTTAAGACTCATGTATTGCAGATGGAACCACAGCTTCCAGCATGATAAGCAAATGCTCTACCTCCACGTCCCAAGTTCTGGGGTTCTGGAGTAGGCCCCCATGGACCACGCTCTCAGTGGTGAAGGCTGTGTTTCTGTAGGAGAGTATCCATGGACCATGCTCTCAGTGGTGAATGTGTTTCTGTAGAGGGTCCTTGTTTCCTGAGGATCTGTATACTGAAGGCTGAAGGGCTGCTGCGATTTACTCATGTCACGCTGGAGAGATGTCTCAGGGGTAAAATCAGTTGCTGCTCTCAGAGCAGACCTGAGTTTGGTTCCCAGCACCCAAATGTCTGTACCTGTAGTTCTAGAAGATCCAATGCCTTCTTTTTTTTTTTTTTTTTTTTTTTTTTTGAGACAGGGTTTCTCTGTGGCTTTGGAGCCTGTCCTGGAACTAGCTCTGGGATTAAAGGCGTGCGCCACCACCGCCCGGCTGATCCAATGCCTTCTTTTGGTCTCCTTGAGCACTTGCACACAGGCATATAAAAATAGAAGCACATCTTTAAAAATGGTGTCAGGTGATATATGACTTGCATGCTTGTAGTCCTAGGACTGTGGAGGCTCAGGCAGGAACAGTGAGTTAGAGACTGGCCTTCACTCCAGCAAGACCTCAGTTGGTAAAGTGATTAGATTACCCAGCATGCAAGAAGCCTGGGCTCAGGATGAATAAATGGCTCTGTTTTTTTTTTTATTTTTTATTTTCGAGACAGGGTTTCTCCGTAGCTTTGGTTCCTGTCATGGAACTAGCTCTTGTAGACCCGGCTGGCCTTGAACTCACAGAGATCCACCTGCCTCTGCCTCCCGAGTGCTGGGATTAAAGGCGTGCGCCACCACCGCCCGGCAAGGCTCAGTGATTTAGAATATGCATCATTTTCCCACGGGGGACTGACTTCAGTTGCCAGCAGCCAACACTCAGAGGCTTACAATCACCTGTAACTCCAGCTCCAAAGGGCTACACCTTCTTCTAACCTCTGGACACGTGCCCACCCCCACCACAGACAGACAGACAGACAGACATACAAAGGATTAAAAACAAAAACAAACACCTCTGGGCATGGTGGCACAATCACAGCTCTCAGGAGACAGAGGCAGGAGGATCCCTGTAAGTTGCAATCCATCCTGAGTTCCAGGACAGCCAGGGCTACACAGTGAAACTCTCGAAAATACCAACCAACCAACCAACCAACCAACCAACACACACACACACCAAAAACACACACACAAATACACGTACATACACAAACACATATACACAAATGCAAGGTGATTTTGGTTTACATAGTGAAACTTGTCTGAAAAAAAACACACACACACAGAAAGAAAAGTCAACTAAAACAATGTGAATTCCAAGAAGACTTTTGTCACGTGCTGTGTCCCTAGAGTCCAAAAAGTGGCTAGAACATACAAGAAACTTGGGAAAGAACTTATCCCTTACATAGAACACATGGAAAACAACCGTATTCATGTA